TCCAGGTGACTGAAAAATGGGTCACATGCCCTTGTGATTTGCAGATACCTTCCCCTATGCCAGACAGCAGCAAACTCTAAAGCCTACAGACAGGTCAGGAAACAATGTATGAACACTGAAGGGAGGCCCAGAGCTACCTCCCTGCCTCAAACATTTCTTGTTACTTATTTTCTTTCCTCCATCTTTCCAACCATTATTTCAAATATACTCACTGATGCCTACAGACTGTGCCATGATCTGTGCTTGGTGCTGGAAATGCTAGGAGAAGGAATCACTAACACAGAAAATGTGGGAACTAGAACAAAGACAGGCAAGAGGGTGTGGTGGAAGGAACCTGGGTGGTGGAATCAGGAGGAATTTACTTCCAGGCTTGATGGCAATCTGAAGCTCCATTCCCCATCTGTAAAATGGACAGTTGTGGCAGTCATGGGGGAATTAAGGACATGAAGCAACTTGAAAGTAATTACAAGCTATTCCTCGTCAATCAAAAAGACTAGGAGATGGGACACTTGGCTGTGGTCAGACACCCTCATTGTGTCATCATCTTACTTTGTGATCCCTGAAGACCCCTTTGCTACCATTCAACTATCCCTGAAGAGTCACACCAGTGCCCTGGGCTAGGGCCACAGACCCCTGCAGAAGGCAGATGGAGAGGCACAGGCTACTCCTAGCCTAAGACTGGGCTCAGCAAGTGGCCCCTTCCCTTTCTTTCCCTCTAGACAGAAGGAGACAACAAAGCTCAAGAGGCTCCCTAGCCAGCTGCAATTTGATTTTTTTTTTTTCCAACAGGAAAGGAAACAAAGACCAAGGAGTTATCTCAAGTGCAGGGAGCCAGGGGAAGGGTCTTCAGACACAGTTGCCATCTTTGCCTCTCAAGCCAGGACTTGACCCCTGATCACAGAGCTGGGTGGGGGCTGAGTGGTCTAACAGGAGCCCTCCCACAAGCCGCTCCTGGATGGTAGGATCCTCCTCAACAAAGAGGAGACCACAGGTGAGAGGCAGGGGACAGCTTACTCTCACAGCCTGAGGAGCAGGCACTCTGTGGGCTCATTTAGGTGACACTACACTCCTGGCAAGGAGGGGATAACACATTCAGTGTATAGAAGGGCAACTGAGGCTCAAGGAAGTGAAGTGACTTGCTCAAAGTCACAAGTTAGCTGGGAGGAGAGCAGAAAGGAACAGTTTAAGTCTGACAGCTTTCCTATTCTAACACGACACTATATTGTGACTCTGCAGGGATCTGAGTCCCGTGATTGCACCACTGGTCCAGGGTGGGAAGCCACCACACCATCCCTGTACAGAACCACACATCAGGGATTGCAGGTGAGTATGAAGGGCTGGCAGTTAATAGTGGGTTGCCCTCACACTCTGCTGAGGATCTTCACCCTGTAGGCCTTTTGCCCTTGGCCTCCTGCTTGTCTTAGGTGCTGCCCTGCATGTGCCTCAGGGGCCCTCCACATGCCACCTGTTTCTCCCTCATCTTAGCTATGAAGGCCTTAAGCGTTCTCAGATCCTTTGACCCAGTAAATCCACATCAGGGAGGGAATCTGCCTATGAAAATGGTTCAGACCACGCATGAGGATTTATATAAAGATATTCACTACAGTGTGATTTAAAATTATAAACTGGTACCCCAAATCAAAAAGACCAGGATTAGGATAATGTGGTGGGCTTTGGCACAGATTTCAGATCACAGGCATTTGATAACAATTGAGTGAGGCCCAGATATGAACCTTTTCAAAAGTCCCCCAGGTGACTCGGACCCATAGCTGGGCTGAAAACCACAGGAGTCACTTGCTGGGACAGGTGCAGCCATTATCAATGTTTAAGAAGAAATTTTGTAAGATGTGAAAAATTCTTACACACACTAGAAGGCAAAAACAAACGAATAACTGGGATACTGGATTGCTTTGTCAGGAATATCTCAACTGTCTGAACTGAAAGCAAACTGAAGATTCTAGAAGCAGGGTGGAAGCATGGGAACACTGTATTTTAGCTCCAGATGAAGGGCTTGGGTGTTTCCTATTACTCTTTTTTTTTTTTTTCTTTTCTCTCTCTCTCTCTCTCTGTGGTACTGGGGACTAAACCCAGGGTCTCACACATGCTAGGCAGGTGTTTCCTATTTCTATTCCTCTGTTATTTTAAACATTTTTACCAGGAGCAGGTGCTAGTGTGGGAGTATGTGTGTGCTAGGTATCAAACCCAGGGTCTCTGCATGGTAGGAGAGTGCTCTACCACTGAGCTACACCCCCACCACAATAGGTGCTATTTTTTATAACCAGAGAAACAACTAGCCAACTAGTAGCCCTGGGAAGGCCTCCCTGTTCCTTTGGCACTGTGTTGCCTGTCCCCTCAACAGACTCTCCCAAGACACCATTCTTGGTCACATACCTACTACCCCTCTTTTCTTCTCAGGCTCACATGGGCTCTGCAATCATTTAAATTAATTCCCAAAACAATCTTGTAAGAGAAATGTCGTTACTCCATTTTTCAGATGAGGAAAATTTGTTAAAATTAAACTATGGCTTGAAAACCATCTAAGTACACATGGTAATGTCCTTTGGGTTCAATGTTTGGTTAAAAATTTCAGGCCTTCTGGCTTCCCTCTTGGCTTAATAGAAGAAAGCCATTTTAATACACAGAAATGGGACTGAAAATGTGACAAATCTGCTGCACTTCATTGATTCTAAGGAAATTTCTTCCCATTGTAACATCTCTGGAATCTGGATTTGTCATATAATTGATGACGTCTTTCAACTGTTCCTCTTCTTAAGATAATGGTATATTCTATGATTGAAAGGCAGCTCAGATTCAAGGAAAAGTACGATGTCTACAATCACCTTACCTTCAGAACAATGCTCTTAATGACTATGCTACTACTATGAACTCATGGCAGTGAGCTTTTCCTTTTGCTACCAAGGGCATCTTCCTCCCAGGTGCCATATCTTGGGAGACATCTTGACATTTCTTGACCTTCCTCCACCATATTTTATCTACTACTGGGACTGGTAATCTCTCCTTCATGGTACCTTTTCCTGGTGTAACCAAGTGAAGACCTCCTCTGAGTTCCTATAATATTCCTCTAACTGTGCCTCTCATTTTCTTTTAGTCTATCACCATCATCATACTATTCAAACTTTATACTAGTCATGTCACATCTCTGCTTAAAACCTTACACTCCTCACAGGGTACAGTTCACATTCTGAGCCTGGCAACCAGGCTCTGCCAAATCTGGCTCCAACCTCTCCTGTAGCCCATCTCTCCACGCAAGCCCATCACTCCAACAAAACAGTTGAGCCATTGCCACAGTTTCAGTTCAGGTTTAATCTTTCCTATGAATATTTTAGATTTGTTTGATCCTTACACCAGGAGGTATGGAAAGGGTAGGTAAGGTAGTTTCATCATCATTCCATAGGTGAAGAATTTAAACTATAAACAAATTAAATGGTGTGCTCAAGTATTAAACAGCCAAGAAGTGTAGAACCAGGGTTTAGACTCCTGGGTTTTTTGCCTTTAAATCCAGTGCCTCTCAGAGCCAAATGCAGCCAATTACAAAGTCTTCCTGTGGAGTAGCATGTGTCCAGATCACATCCAACAACATGCACCAAGATTCAACAGCCTCTGGATTCCAGACACATAACAAAGAGGCAATCTCAGGAATGAATAATTCTAGTGTGTTGGTTCCCAGCAACCCAAGGAAAGGACTAGGCCAGCTGTCCTGTTCTCCATCTAGAGAGGGGAAGAGTACAGTATTCTCAACAAGCACCAAACCTGAATGGCATAGTGGATCCAGGATCGTGACCAAGAATCAGAGCCACCTCACTTTAAGACAAGTGGGTATGGGAACTTGCTTTAAGCTAAAGAACTTTAGAGGGAAGTATTTCTCAGACAGCAAAAAATAGGGTGCATTCCTTCTGCTTTGTGACATGACATCGCCTGAAGTGGAGGCAGCATAGGAAGTAAAGCTTCAGTGCTGGGAGGAGAACGAGGAGGGCAGTGGTGTGAGGATGCTGCTCCTGAGAGCCCACCACCCTAGCCACTTCATAAGAGATGCCCTGGGTGAAGGAAAAGCAAAATGTTTGCTATTACTCTTTGTGTTTCACTTGGACACATGATGGAGTAAGGGCCATAAAGATATAAACATGATAAATGGTGGCTTATAAGGAGGTGGGATTCTGGTTCACTCTCAGGATTTTTACCTGAAGTATACTACATGACAACCACTCATCTTCTGGCATTTAATTTCATTAAATACTATGGGTTAAAACAAAACCAGAAATAAACAGTGCTGGCGTACAGTGTTACCTTGCACCCCACTCCAACTGGGAGTGTACTCCTTGGCCAGGAGGTCAAAGTCAACAGAATAGAGAGCTGTCAGGCAAGAGCTTCTTGTCTGAAGTCAGGAGAAGTGGAACTGCCTTTGGCTTAAGGCAAGACTCAACGTCTTCACATCCTCAAACAACTCCAGCTCATGTGGCAGTCAGGGTACGTGGAACAGTTGACAGAGGCTCAGAAAGGTGGAAGAGCCATATAGTTGGGCAACATTATCTTTGGCCCTTGCTATGCTTTGTGGTCATTTAAATCATGACCACCACACATGGAAGCCACCAAGAATCTCCAGGATTTTTTGCTTTCTTAAGAGGAGGAGAGGTCCCTTAAATGGATAAGAAACAGTGAGGCCCAGGGCAAAACCAGGGGCTTTCTGGTAAATTATTTCTCATTTGGAAAGCAGAGCTGATTGCTGCTGCCTCACAGATGTCCATATGAGCAGGCAAGTGCGAAAGGCTTTGTGCTATGTCCAACACCAAGTCGGTGCTTATTGTGTGTGTGGAGGGTCCTCGAATTCTTCCCTTGCATATGAGGGGAGGAAGCCCCCACCATCTCCCATGATCTCCTTTAGATGAGTTCAAAAACCAGAACCATGATTGCATGTGGTCCCTTGGTAGGCATCTTAGTCTTGATTAAACACCGACTCTATCATGTGCCATGAGGCTACTCACCGGCTCAATTTTCAGGGCATTCCGGTAGCTACCAAAGAAAGCGGCCTGGGCCTTAAGGAAGGCTCTGGCTACCCCATCGCCTGTAGTTGTGGAGACCTTCTTTAGCCTGTTCTTCAGTGAGGAGATCTGGTAAGGGAGAGAAAGGAAACAGGTTGAGGGAAGGTTGCAGGAGGATAGCTGACTAAGCCCAGAGCCCACGGAGCCCTAGAAAATTTCTAGAAGAGGTTGATTTGATGTTTTTGCAGAAAAAAGAATCACTCAGTATCAGGAAAGTTTCTATTGGAGTATATATTTGTTTATTTACTGTGGTGCTAGGGATCAAACCCAGGGCTTCCCACATGCTAGGCAAATGCTCTACCACTGAGCCACAGCTCCAAGGGCAGGTATTTTTGTTTTGGTACTGGAAATTGAACTGAGGAGTGCTTTACCACTGACCTACATCCCAAGTCCCTTTTATTTTTTTATTTTGAGACAGGGTCTTGCTGAGCCTGGCCTTGAACTTGTGATCCTCCTGCCTTAGCCTCCTGAGATTACAGGCCTGGGATTATAGCTGTGATTACAAACCTGCACCACCGTGACCAGAAAAGTTTTTCAAATTTAAGCGAATATCGCTCTTATTAGAGCATGTCTAATAAAAGCAAAAATAAAATTATTTTTAAAGCAATTATGTGCCAGGGAAGTACTTTCACATAAATTTCCTAATTTTTCTTCTGACAATCTTGTGAAGAATGAATTAGTGTTCCTGTTCTGTAAGAATGAAATAGTTTCCGAGAACTTAGGTTATATGTCAAGAGAAAAAATCCAAGGAATGGCCAAATTGGAATTTGAACCAAAGTCTTATAATCTAAATCCAAGCTTTTTGTTGTTCTAATTCCATTCCATCTGTGATATTAAAAATATTAGAAGAAAGGTTTATTTGTATATCTCACACCTCATAGTCTGAAAGAATAGTGACAGCTTATAGAAACACACTCAACAAGTTAAAACAAAATAGATAAGAAGGTGATATTAATGGGAAAAGAAGAAGCTGTGACTAGATGTAGTTTGTGAATGTAAGCTATACGACAGTCCTATATGGTGGTTAGATGTGAGTTTCAAATTTGACTTAAGAACTTTCTCGTGACCAAAGCAAAGAGAAAAACATGAAAGTTGAGAGATTCCCTGGGTCCATGCATTATAAACAAATCAGTGGATCAAACGAATAAAGATTTTCCTGAATGTGGGACCTAAAAGAGACTTTCCCCTAAAAGAATCTTTGTAGGAAAGATCATGTGACATGGTTGTTGTTGCCTTCAACATCGGGGCCAACATCAAGCTTCTGAGACTATTTCTAAAATGCTCTTCATTCATCTCAGGATGCCACATTGTATAAACTTCAGGGCACAATACTCACATTCCATCACATTCCTGGTATTGTGCAATACGGTGACCTTGAGTCATTCATTCATTCAATAAAGTAGTTAACTGGGCAAAGAGGAGAGGGTACAATGTGCTATGCACGGGGAATAATGTGCAAAGGATCTGTGGTAGGAAGAAATTCAGAAAATAGAAAGAACTTTGGCTTCAGTATAGAGACTAAGGGTGAAGATGGGGCGAGACGATGTTGGAGTTGGACATGGTAGTACATGCTTATAATCCATGCAATGGGAAGGCTGAGACAGGAAGATCATAACTTTGAGAGAGAGGCCAGCCTCAGTGAGTTAGTATAACCCTGCCTCAAAATAAAAAAATAAAAAAGGACTGGCATTATAGTCTACTGGTAGGGTACTCCTGGATTCAATTCCCAATACCGCACGAAAAAAATGGTGCTAATAGAAAGGCAGAGGTCAGAAGGGACTTTTCCTTTGTCTGAAGGGAAACAGCTAGTGATTATTCTTAAGCTTGTAGATGAAACATTAAGAGTACATTTCAACAAATCAAGGACATTTCAGAGAAACTGATACCTAGTGGTGTGAACATTACTTAAGGATAAAACTTAGGATAAAATTGAAGAGAAAACAGAAATTAGATTTGGGGGGTTCATGGATCACCTACAAATGTGTAATATGAATGGGTGATTTTCTGGGCACAAAATCCATAGCTTTCCTTACAGTACCAACAGTGTCTGCAAATCTACAAACATTAAGAACCACTGATCTGGGATGGACTGTGTGCACTTGAGAAATGATCCATGGACACTAAGCCTTATTGTTAAGCTTTTATAAGGGAATTTAAAATGGCTTGTGAGACAGCCCACTATCATTCATTATTTTAAGGTGTAGCTCAGTGGCTTTTATTATAATTACAATGTCATACAACTATCACTATTATATACCTCCAGAACATTTTTATTACCCCAAAAAGAAACCCTGTGTTCATTAGCTGTCATTCATTCCCCACCAGTTCTACCCCACCACTGTCCTAGGCAACCATTAATCTACCTTCCATCTCTATGGACTTTCCCATTCTGGACACATAAAGGAATAATAAAATAGGTTGTCTTCTTTGACTGCATTACTTCACTTAGCATAATGCTCATTATGTACAAGGTTCATCTATGCTGTAGCACGTGTCAGTACTTCATTCTTTTTATGGCTGAGTAATGTTACATTATCTGGGTATAGCACATCTAATCTGTCTATCAGTTTCCACTTTTTGACAATTAATAAATAATGTTGTGGTGAGGATTCATGTATAAGCCTTTGTGTGGAGATATTTGAGATTTTGAGGCAAGAACCTAAATAGCAAAAATCCTATTGCCAGACTTTACGTGATAAACTGAAAGGACACATGAAGTCAGAAAGCACAGAACTGGCACCTAGCAAGCCACTAGTGCAGGTTAACTGAGTACAGGGCAAGCCCCTTTGTTGTTGCCCATGAGACATGCCACAGGGCTGGGAAAGCGCACCACAGGGGTGACTGCCCCTCCTCTGAATGAACGTAAGCCTTGGAAAACAGTTTTCCTCTGAAAGCAGCTTGGAGTCTACCTCAACATCTGGGTATATATAACTGCTTTATTGTGACCTCCCCTTTCTAGGACCCATGAGCCCATCGCCACAGTGAGCGATGCAGGCTGCTCAGCAGCCGGGCAGGCTCTGCTGTGGACTTTCAACTTGAAACAGAAATATGAAAAAGAAATGTGCTTTATTAAAATGTTAAAAATATTACCCATCCTACCCCCCAATAATAAAAATCCTGCCTCTCTCAGAGACTAGGGTGACATTTCCATCCTTTGAAATGGTGCAAGCCACTGTCGCTCTTCTACTGCTCCTCAAAGGCCTTGGGCCACCTGTGCCGCAGATTATTCCTCACTTAACCTTCCCTGGCCTTTCTCTTTCATTCAGGAGGTGTTTAATTACCTTGGATTCACAAGCTGCACTTCAGGTGAGCCTCTCCTAATGGCCTCATTACCATTTTACACAAAGAAGGAGTCGCTGATTGTAACCGAGCAAATATGAGAGCGCTCCTTCCTGCCTGCCCCCGCTGGTCTGAAACTAGCCAAGTGGTCCCGGGCTCCTGATGCCCCTGTGACCACCTAGGCCAAGGCTTCTGAAGCCCTCCCTCAGCCTGCAACACAGAGGAGCTTTTGTCTTGACCTGTCATCACTTCCAACTTTGAAACTGCAAGTCTATGTGCATCTAATAGCTGCTGATAGCATTTTGTCCTTTAAATAAAAGGGAGGGAAGAAAATGTAAAGCTGAAATAAACCACCATCCTACATCTAAAGTTGAACTTGCCCTGTGAACTCCTGGGGGGTGCTGGTCCAATCATTACATTGAGGTTCATCAAGGGTAACACGGTGGGGGGGGTGTTGAAGTGCCATTGAGGACAGCTTCCTCCTTTAATCGGGTACCACAGGAGGAAGACAGAAAACATAGGGAAGAGCACACAAAATTTAATGTACCAGCTCCTCTCTACAGCTCCCCTAATCCTCCTCCTGTGCCCCATTTTGGGCACTGTCACATCACCCCACCAGACTCCTGGACCGAAGTCAGATTCTGTACTTTTCCATCCTTCCCACAACCATTTTCATGTTTCATCAACACCATCTCAGATACAGCCTGACTCTGCCTTCTCTCAGTGCCCATGGCTGTGCCCCTGAGAGGCACAATGCATTCATCCTTTTTGGCGCAGACTGGTTATATAGCTCTCATAGCAGGCTCTGTTTTCAGTATTTACTTGACATCATCCATCTGTAGCTCTCCTAGTAATCTTGGAAATATCCAAGTTTAATCATAATCACTTCAGTTCTCCATCAAACCCTTCAATGCCTCTACCCTTTGCCATCATCACCTTCAAAAATATACCCAGACTTCCCAGCAGTCAGTGCAGGCTTTCCTTGGCTAACTGGCCCCCACTTGCCCCACGCGGCACATTCTTGCCCAACACAGCAGCGCATGAACCACTCCATCAGTCCACTTGCCAATACCTCAGGCGGGGTTCTCTTGACTCTTCATGTCCTGCTTGTGGACTGCCATTCACTCTTTGAAAAGACTGTCCAGTGCCTGTCATGGAGGGCACACTAAATAACTATACTACATTCTTCTGATAAAATGCCACAAAGGTGCTAGTGGCAGTACGCTATGAACTGATGTGAAAAAATGCCCACAAAGTAGCCAAATGCGGAAAAATGAAAGTTGTAGAGTAATACGTATACACGAATCATTTTAAAAATCATTTGTAAACATATATGTATGTAGTAAAAACCTAAAATGCCATGTATCAAAATTTAACCATGCAATGACACTTTCACTTTCTACTTTATACACGTGATTATTTTGATTATACTTTATAAAAAAGCATATGTTACTTTTATAATAAAGAATTAAAACGAGGTATTTTTCTTTAATAGCCAAATTACCCATTGCCTTGGGGTAAGCGAAAGACAGAATCCAGATGTTCCCCCATCTGTGAAGTCTCCTCTGACCATTCAACCAGCTCCCCACCAGGATTATATCAAGGTTCTCCCGTGAGTGGCAATGTTGACCACCTTTCCCACAAGCCCATGTGTTCCCAGCATGGGTGTGGCCCAGTGGTCATTTAGCATTTTCTGCTGGATGAAAGAACAGATAAGTGAGCTTCAACACTATGAAAGGCACTTCCAGTGGCTGTGCCTCTTTGCTTGGAGGAAAGTGCAGGATCACATT